CCACTCTTTCTGTATGTATCGTCCACTCAACCTGGCGTGGATGCAGACATTTAGAAAAACAGCATTATTATACCGGAAGGACGCTAAATCACTGTTGTCCAAGACATCGCTTTAAACCTAAACAGAAAGTGGTTTATCATATGTAAGATATGTTGATATCAATAAATCTTATACAGCGAAGCATTGCAATGCATCATGGGATTATATATTTCAGCTCAACTTGATTCTAAGACGTTAGCCATTTTGAGACGCCAACTTTTTCCCCGTCTCATTTTGTTATTTCAGTCAAACAAGGAACGATTTTGTGGGTATTTTGGGAAGAATCAAAATTGAATCTCGAAACAGAAAAAATGAGGAATGAAAAAGAGAAAAAGAAAAAGAAAGTGAATTTGAAAGAATCAGATCACGAAATATAGAAAAGAAAAAGCGAATGAAAGAAATTTAGAAAAGAAAGAAAGGAAACAAAAAGGAATGGAAAAATTGAAAAGAAAGAAAAGAAAGAAAAGCGAAAGAAAAAAAGAAAGAAAAGAAAAACGAATGAAAGAAATTTAGAAATGTAAGAAAGAAAATGTAGAAAAGAAAGAAAGATAAGAAAGAAGAATTTACGAAAAAATTATGAATAACGACTGAAACAAATATCTATTAAAAATGGTGCTAATGAAAATGAAACCAGATTGTAATGGTACCCTTTTTCTGGTAAGGATTTTTAGGTGATTTTATGATCCCATATTAAATAAAGAAACTCTCATTTTTTCTGTTACTGTCATGAATGCAGTCCTGCAAATGTTGTGTAACGAAGAGATATCTTAGTTACAGATCTTTCACAAATTAATAAAACAAGAATGCTAATACTTCTAAAAACATTTATTAACTAGCACTAATTATATATATATATATATATATATATATATATATATATATATATATATCCTCAATGGGAGTAGATAGGTTTTCCTATGGTCCGGTTCACACTCCTCCCCGATCTTTTGAACAGTAATAGATGTTAAAACTTTGTTTCCTGTTTCATTGGATTTCCTCCCCATTCTAAAATCTTTTCATTTTCTTTAAATCACAGTAGCCCCTTACTTCTTAGTGGCATTAGCGCCTTCCTTTGAGTGAATATATATATATATATATATATATATATATATATATAGCTGTAATCAACAAAAATTAATAAAAAAAACACTGATCAAGGCATATCTCAAAATGCAGAAACGAAAAATAATTTTTACTAAGTAACCTAAAAAAGGTTAATGAACGTGGAATAACCAAAACGGGGGTTGGAAATAAAATGGTAATCTTTATAACATCACCAAAATACAATACTCGCCAGCGGCGTGAAGTAGGTAAACCACTGCTAGTGGTGGACTACTTAGCATATTACCCCCACTTACAGTAGGGTCCAACGTATTTATAAGGATTGGGACTTACCTATTAGTGTTCATAGGTACGGTATATAACACTAAGTTTCTTAAAAATTGAAAGCTAAAAGCAAATGCCACCATGCAAAATGCAAATATATGCACTATATCAGTTATGTACCATGCGTGATTCACACTTAGGCGATCCTGTATCTTTCGAGTGCTATAGAATCTGGTCCGTCCTGCGATTTACCCATAGCTAGGGGGAGAAGAAGAGGATGACAACGTTGATAATGTGACATTGTTTCAACAATGCCAATACTTTAAATTAAAAAAAATAAGGTTACAAACCCGCAAAAGATATAAATAAAATTTTTAAAAATGTATTCTTTTTCATCATTTTTGTTGCTTTTTATCAGGTCGATTCTCATTCTAAAACCATTAAGTGGGCAATTAGGGGTGAAAATTAAAAAATTAAAAAAAAACACTCCATGAATAACTGTACTATCATACTAGAACCATAAGCCTTTGACCTGTGACCACCGCTTTACCGGGGCTAGAGAAAAATGACTTCATGCCCAGCCACCGGTTGAACGGTCGGTAAACACTTGTAACTATTTTTATATCTACCGTGACACTACATACCAATTATTTACGAATTTTGACTCAGGATCTCAAACAGAATGGTTAAAATTGTTCAGAGCTCAAAGGGTTTTATATGAGAATAAGACCAAAGATACGTGTAGTGATATGTAAATGACGTCTTAATTATCAAAGCTATGGCAAGAGGGAAGTACAGAATTCGATAAGCTCCACGTAATAATCGGCCCTGTGCCACATCCTGCCTTGTAAATACAAGAATACGATAAGCGAGTCGTTCCTCCTCACAAAGTTGTGTCTATGTCTTCGGACAAAGAGCAACCTCGTCCTGTTTTTTTTTTGGGGGGGGGGGTTGTTTTTTGCTTCCGACATAGCGCAACCCCCAAAATTGAGAAGTGCTCGGTCCCTGGGAACAGCTGCTGGTGGAAGTACGTCCCTCGTTGCCAGCACAACCGACGAGCTATCTTTGAACATGGCCTGAGCGCACGCACTCGGCATCTCCACATTGAAGTAACCTTTTGTTGCATCCAAGCTGCGTGAATCGTCAAGAAGATATTGAATAAGATACACAAGATTAACGTTTACCGCTAGACTGATAAAGTAAGATGACAAATTATATTTCATAAAAATAAACTAATCAGAAATTAATAATAATCGAAAATGGTTCGTCTATGAAATTCGAAGAACTAAACTGCTGACTCAGATTCTTTGTCTCTCATCAGAGGAAAATTTAGCGCTGAATGCAGAACGGGGGCCGACATCTTGAAATAAAAAGAAAAAAGCTGACATCTTTAAAAGAAAAAACAAAATAGATCATCATAAAGCACGAATTTTCTATAAACATTAAAGTTAAAGTATGAACAAACGTACTAGTTAGAAACCACTTTCATCCTCCCCTTCACTCTGCCAGCAAAGGTTCTACAAAAGAAGTGTCAAGAAAACGCACTTAAATCAAAGATCTAAAACAATCAATTATAAGAGTCGACAGAAATTAGTTCTTGTTGATTGGTTAATGGAGACCGGTTAGAGCAGTTCCTTTTCATCTGTTAAAAAGTTCCTTAGCAAAATACTTCAACCTACTGTCTCCTAAAAATAATCCCTGCTCTTTCCTGTCCTCGTCTTTTGTGGCGCGCTGCTGAGCGAAGCGTCTTCTCGTCTCCCAGGCAACATACATCAGGGACGTGTGATAATTGCGTTTCGATGTTACACCTTTCAAATAGCCTGTCGCGTTCACGACAGACTATTATTCGCGCGAATAAAAGACACGGCGAACATGAGTAAATTACTTTCCCTGTACCAAACAGCAAGAAAAAGTGAAAACGAGAATTAACTTCTACGTCAGCTTTGTATTCCCGACAGGTATTGTCACAGTGATCTTGTTTTATTTATTTATTTATATATATATATATATATATATATATATATAGAGAGAGAGAGAGAGAGAGAGAGACAGACAGACAGACAGACAGACAGACAGAGTGAAGATGCTACATATATATATATATATATATATATATATATATATATATATATATATATATATATATATATATATATATATATATATATATATATATATATATATATATATATAGTAAGTTTCAAATAAGTAATGGATTTTTTTTTTTTAATCAGACAGATTTTTCAATTAAACGTTATTTTGTGTGGATAGTCATATTTGTGTAGCCGTTCCTTTTATTTATTAAATAGTATATTTATTCATTTTCGCCAATTATTTTTCGTTGCCCAGTCGGCTAAGATACGTCTTATCTAACGACGGCTTCCCTAATGGCCATGTGGACACGGGTTCGATACCTACCGGAGGGAGTAGAATTCTCATTTAAGTGAAGTGGGCTCACCGACTTCAAGATATTTCAAACTTGTCCTCACCTGCAATATTTTGGGGAGTATTACTCCCCTATCACCTACATTTGGCTGGTGTGTATGTTCCTGGTATAACCTTATCACACTGGATACTGGTGGGTGTATTGGGTTTCGTCTATTTTTGGAGATCTACTCTCTCATTCAGTAGATATACAGATGAATAAAATCTCCGATAATCCTTTTTTATTTGAAATGTAAAAATAAAATTGATAATGCGTGCCACTCAAAGGTTTAGAAAAACTGACCCAACCTAATACGCTAATGAACTTCACCAGGATAACCTTCATTTACATAGTATCCCAGGTAAAAAAAAAATGGAAAATGATTGTATGAAATCACAAATCAAAAAGAAAAAAAATATTTACACTATTTACATTGTTCGGGCTGTTGTCCTTATCTTTTTGCCATATTCACGATATTTCAGCCGTTGTACGCTCTGACCTTCTTCAGTCGATTGGAAACAATCTATATCGTTCACCGGAATAGATTGTTCTAGTTCCACGTGTCATGCCTCTTCTGGATGTCTCAGTTATATTCCTTTAACTCAACTCTCCAAGTTTGTTTTCTTTTTTTTTCACCACTGCAGTAGTCAGGTATTGAATTCACAACTCAAACTTGTATCAAGTCACTGGATCCAACCAACACTTTTATCCACTGGGTTATGTGTCCAGGAGAGGCATGGCACGTGGAACTAGAACAATCTACCTGGTGGACGAAATAAAGCATTCAGTTCAAAATTCCAATCAACTGAAGGAGGCCAGAGCGTCGTGAATATGACAAAAAAAATTAGGACAACAGTCCAAACAAAAAGACCAGTATAAATATTTACAATACCTCATCACAGAAATATAGACAGAAAAAAATAGCAATACTCTTAAAACTCTGCCTTAGAGAATTCAAACCTAAAATTCAAAACGACTTTAAGATTCAAATGGATTACAAATCCTTGACCAGCCATCGGATGCAAGAATTTTCTTCAGGCAGCAAATGCCAGTATTTCAGTCGAGGACAAAATAAAGCGGAAACAAAATGAAAGGAAATTTGTGATAATACAAAGGTGACATATATGCCCATCATTATTGGCAGTCTTGAGATAGATTATTGAAGATCAAATAAGTTGAATAAAGAGAAAATTCATGTAGAAATTAACTTACGAACATATCGCGTTGAAACATCGTTTCTCTTACGATTACTGAAGTTAAGCAACGTCGAGCCTGATCAGTAATTAGATGAGTGACCTCATGAGAATAGCAGGTGCTGTAAGCTTGGTGTACATGTGGTGTAATTGGTAACGGTTCAGAATTGGAAATCGAAGAGCAAAGTTTCTCATTTCCAGGATTTGTTTTATTTACTGATGGGCAAATACTCTTAAGGGTATAAACACACTTCTTCTCTTCCACCCCAGATATGTTTTAATTATATCAGTGAATCATTATTATCACTGAAAGATTCTTAAAATCTAAAAATATTTTCTGACTTTAAATAACGTGAAAAAGGTTGATAAGCCGTAAAAAAAGTAAGTCAACCGTGTAAGAATTGAAATCATGCGAACGTCAGTGCTTTTGAAATTACATAGAATATTTAAAAATGTGCAACATTATTGCCGAAACCTTTATTTTGAAACTTTTTGTTTGGTCATTTTACCAGTGCTACCAAGACTAAACCAGATTCCCCGACCAGATGATTCTGATGAAGAAGGTAAACACCCAAATTAATTTTTTTTAAACTGTAAAATTGACGATTGGCCTTCTTGTAGGGTCAACAGCCATCTAGCACAATATAGTAGAGAGTGCTCTATAGCTATGGATGTCCGGTGATGATACGGCATCACTAGAGGTTTTCTAGATTGAAGTCAATGGCTGTTAATTCTCCTGATGGAATTAACGGCCACGTATCCGTTACCAAATGTCCGTGAATTTTAAGTTGGAGGAAATCGGCTGTTATGTGACCTGGAGAGGGATAGGTTTCACCAGGTCTACTTGCCAAAGATAAGTTACGCATGAATAAATACCTATCCGGCTTTCAATCTAGATATATGGATATAACTGATTAAGTGAACAGTTGCGCAACATCCCTACGACCATATCTGGTCATAGAGCTGATGCTGCTTTTACTTGATTTATAGAAAATCTGTTACGATGGATAATCAGCTTCGTTATTTGATTTCTAATTGTGAATTAAACAATTAACTATTTCCGTCAAGCATGATAATCATGGCTCTTCACAGCTTCCCTTTTTTTCTTTATGATGCATGAATTGTCATGACTTCTTAGGAAAGACATAATGATTTCCGATCGCTATCCTCGTTGTTTCGAGTTATCCCCCTCTTAGTAAGAATTGTAGTTACTTATTAATAAGTGCCTTTGATGGATTAGATTTGAGAATTCTAACAATGTTACATGAAACTCCAGAAGGTAGATCATGATATAATGGTTATTAGAGCAACTTCTAATTTTAGTTACTATTCAGTTTATTAGTTCAGTTTATAGTTAGGAAAGGCATAAGTTCACTCGTTGTGTTTCATACCTTGACAAAATAGTTCGTAGCTGCTATTCCACGATAATTAATGAATGTACATTTGGGGAAAAATTATATTTCTGTTACCACTATTGTCAACCATGACATAATCCAATAAGAAAACATAAATTAAGACTGTGATGATACCAGTGAAAACTGTTTATTTTTTTCATTTTTAGTTCAAGAACACCACACGTTGAACTAAATGTTGACTGAGTGTCATTAAAGATTCCCTCATAACAGATTATTAGTCTGACTTTTGATCGAATAATGATGTCCTTCTGGTATTTCTAATGAGAAGACTGACTCGTGGCCTGGGAGAAGATCGGTTGTTTTGTCCTTTTATAATTGGCACTTCGCAGAGTTAACAAACCCAGATTTATTGGAGTATTAAGATGTGTTGGCCTCAATACGACAGCTCGAGTCAAAAACTTTTCTCAATGAGCTGCAATATCAGAATCTTTCTTAGACAGCTTAGACACACACACACACACACACACACACACACACACACACTTAGCCGTGTGTGGGATCAATCACTTGATTGCTGATTCGTAATTTTCACTATACAGGATGCGGCAGAAATACTTCCCACATATTAAAGGCTGACAAAAAGAAAAAGGTAACTCCTATTTAAAAATTATTTCACTATTATTTAAACAAAGGGCTATAGTTCTTTGGTTTTGATTTTTAAAAAAAAATAGCATCCTGGCCTCTAATTGCAATAAACTGTTTTAGATGATTCCTAGAACCCGGACATTTTTCGGAGATCGAGGTCTTCTCGGTGGCTTTCTTTTAAGCGCTAAAGCTGTGTCCCTGAAATTTGTCAACCCATAGCAGTATCGATTACCTATCCAGAGCTGTATCATTCCGACGTAACATGGAATCGGCAATTGCAATTACAGATACAACTGTGTTAAAAAGACACCATTGCCATTTTTTTAAATCAGTACCGCCCCAAGCAAGATTAAAGATGGCTTGAAAGCATGGAACGGGAAGGAAGTTCCACAAGCGAGAAATGTGAGAAAAGAAATTGTTAGCATAGAACTTATAGTTACATTTAGTCATTTGAACTGTAAAACGATGAAACCTTACGGCCAATCTAGTACTGATAAGAAGACATTACGGGCTCCTATCTCGCCTGCTCAACTGTAAATTGATGAGACCTCAACGCCAGTCTAGTACGGCGCTTAAATTCATAAAGTCTAGATGCCATAGCGAAAATCTTATCCGAAACATTTGCCTAAGTTTAACAATTCACAGGTGGGTGATATTTCTGCCGCACCCTGTATAACATTAGATCTAGGTGATGAATAGCAAAGTGTTGGGTCAAGTGGATCGACAGTGAAGGATATCAAATTTGAAAAAAAAAAATTCTTGTGCAAAATAAACGATTTTTTCATCGTCGGTCTTCATGGTTGGGAGAAAAATTTTCGCGGTTTCTAAATAAAATGGATTACCTGATATACCTGGCGCATTGTGCCACCACCAAATTTCCACTTATAAAAAAAAAGAAATTGTATCCATTTATCTCGTGTATCCTGCGAGTTCCGTTTTTGAGAGACCAAATTACAACAAACTAATCTCTTTTTCTCTATCTCTTTATCCCAACTTTTCGTTCAGTATGATAAAAAAGTAAATGAGAATGATAAAAGTATCGTTAGTAACGCTATACTCGTAGCGTAAACGCGTGCAGCCATAAACAACCGAACGAGAAACAGCTAAACATCTTAGAAACATAAACAATGGAAAAGGTGCATATTTTCTATGTTTGTATTTTATAATACGATATTAATATGTGAATATTACATGCATTTTTATTGGATACAGTTAAGTAAAACGATACTTTTATCAAAATCATGTTTATTTTAAATACAGCTTTAATTTTGACTACAGTAATTGAATATATTTTGGTCAGCAGAATAGCCAGGGCCAACAGTACATACGCTAATTGTATATCTCGCGTATGATGCGAGCCCCTGGAAATTAGCTTCAACATTAGATCTTCAAAAGTCCCATGACACGCTAGTATATACGGTATTTAAAAACAGCGATGGGTTTCCTTCCAAACAGATACATACATCGGCGACTATTCATGTAAGTATGCATGCTTGTGTCAATATGTCTTTTTTGTGTATGAAGAATGTGCATGCTTGTGTCAATATGTCTTTTTTGTGTATGAAGGGTGTGGATGTTTCTGTTTTAATTTGTTTATGTGTGTGTACGTGTGCGTACGAACAGCGTCAGCTTATTTTGATTGTTACAATTCGTTTCCCACACTGCATTGGCTACAACTGCCACATCCGCTCTGTGGAAATAGACTCCAAAATCGGTAGCAAAATAAAAAAAAAGGAGGGGGACAGGCAGACATAACAAAGAGAAAGAAACAGACAAGTTGAAAAGTAACCTGTGAAGAGAGGTGCAAAACAGCGGAAAGATACGTGATTCGAGGACGAATCGAAGCAGAGACCCTTGAAAATGCATTCGTAACAATATGACAGGAATTTGATCAAGAGGTCCGAAGATGACAGTTTCAAATTCTTATATCGACTAGTTTTATATGCATTTAGTTTTCTTTTAACTTTTTCTTTGGCATGTTTAGGGAAAACGCTGTCAGAATGGAACTCATGTCAAAATCCTGACTCGCATTTCATGCATGGATATAATATAATAGCAAACCTTCTGCAGACTTACGATAAACGTGCTCTGAAATCCGACTCAGTCAGCATTGTTTTATCCAGTTTTGCAGTTGGAATTAAAATGTGGTTACCTATATTTATGTCTGTTGTAATTCTGTTTTCTAATAATTGATAGTGATGTAATGTGGGGATGTATAGTTCTGAGGATTCCAACCTTGCAACATCAGCTTCCTTATTTCACTGGACTCCAAGTTGGACCAACAATGTCTCATATCATACAAACGTCGTGGGGGTAGGTAAATACAACGTTCTTCTATGGTGAATTCAAGTGTGCTTAAATTGTAAACCTCTATCAGAGAACCTTGACTCCAGCGAGAATTGAGTAAATATTGTTCATGATCTATATGTACACGTATCAGCAAAACCAACTAATTGTTACAACATACCATCGTGTTGTGGTTAGGTAGTTTAAATACAGTGACCGTTTACCTGATCTTCGGGCTGGTATCAAAATCTAATGTCTGTTTACCGAGTTTCTGTATTTGGAGAGTTTACGGTCAGTGTAATAAGGGTTATCTACCCCAGCACCATCCTCATTGCACCAAGCTAGGTAGTACAGCCACTAGCAGGCAGGGTGTAGAGGAATTAGGAACAGAAACATTAGTAATGAGGAGAAAGAAAAGAGCAATCGGGAGGACAGTAGATAGCGATTGACATTGCATTTAAATTTTTGTAGACTAAATTTGGATGGAAAGCATGTGTTCTACAAGCGAGAAGTGCGAGAAAAGGAACTGTCATCATAGAACTTACGGCTGGATCTAGCCAGCTCAACTAATAAATTGATGAGATCTTGACACCAGTCTAGTACTGATCAGCCTTACTATCGAAACAGGAGTAAGTGGTGTTGTAGTCAGTGCAGACGGCAATTTGAGAGCTGATATCATTGGGAAGGTCATTAACGAAGATTAAATATAACGTAGGTCCAAGTATAGAACCATGGTGGGCACCCGCATTAGTACGAAAGGATGTAGAATTGCCGTTCAGGATAACTTTCATTTCACGATTTGATAGGAACGACTGGATCAGGTCAAAAATGTGTCCGGAGATACTGTAACTTTTCAGCTTGTGGAAAAGACCTGAATGTTAAACCGTGTCAAAGGCCTTCGAGATGTCCAGTGCTACAGCCCGGGTTTCACCGTTTTTATTTAGAGTATGATACTCTATCTGTACTCTTTCGTTAGTGCATCAGAAGTTGAGCTGGAAAACGAAAGCCGTATTGCTTGTCTGAGAAATGGTCCTGTGATGAGAAATGATGAACTAATTCAGCATTGATTAGAGCCTCTAGGAGTTTCCCAAAAAAAGGAGTAGAAGGATAACAGATCGATAGTTGGAAGAGTAGGACAGCTCACCAGAGTTCTTAAAAACTGGAACAACAGTCGATACCTTCCTGCAAGCAGGTAAGCTGGAAGCAGCGAGGTTTTTATTCATACAGTTTAGAGAGAACAGGAGCCAGTTCGGGAGCACACTTCTTTATGTCTATTACAGGGATGCCATCGGGTCTATATTTTTTTTTTGAGGACATCAAGATTAGAGATGATAGCAGAGATCAGGGAAGGGGTTATATGGATATCACTCAACAGAGAATCCGTTCTAAGTTGGAAGTTAGACAGAGATACTCCAGATAAGTCTAGAGTCTGAGGAGAATCTACGGGCAAAGCATTCAGCCTTATTAGCAGAGTATTTTAACATAAATTGATTGAGGTGGGGGGATAGAGACCTTGCACTTATTTAGTACCCCATTACAAAGACGCCAGTAGTCACGAGAGCTAAAGATTTTAGAGGCGGCAGTCTCTCAGCAAACAGGAACTCCTTCGAAAACGCTTACATTTATTACGAACAGTAGCAAATAAGTAACTGTTATGATGAGAGCTGTCACGCTGGTACAGACGGAAATAGTGATTCCTATGTGCTATGGCGGCTGAATAGGTTGGTGTGAACCATGGAGATGATTGCAGTTTCACTGGGTATATCCGAGAAGAGGTGAACAAATACTTACAAATACGTGCATTTCGCGTCAACCCGATGTAGTTATATTCTGTCACCATGGGGCGTTTGGTAAATGGATTTTCCCTTCAGGCTTGGATCAATATACATTATATCTTCTTTGTGTGATTGGACGATGAATTGCCAAGACGAGTCGCAGTGTGTGGTTGAGAGGATTGGAAAAATTGTAGCTAACGGAATGTACACTAATCGATACACGATCAGTGTCGGCTGGTTCATCGCGATGAGGGGATATGATGTTGAAAGACCCGAAACCCCTAATGAACCTCGGCTAGAAACATCATTGATGATGTATAACAAATTATCCAACAGATGGATATTACGAAATTATTGGTGTATTTATATGTATATATCGCATTATGATATTTTTTTTACTGCGCATTCTCGATGGGATCAAAGTGTAGTAACTTTTCCGATTTCCCTACTGTATTTCTGCTTCCGAGGATTTAAATGTCAGAATACCTATAAATATCGAAATACTTCTCAAAAATAAATGTTTACTTTTTTTAAGCATTTCACCCCAAGCAAGGAGTTACAGAGAGTGGAAGCAAGAGTAAAGAGGTGTGATAAAAGAAAGGTTAAAGAGGAGGATGAGGAAATAAATCAAAGCATCTGAAGATGTCGATTGACATTGCATTTGAATATTTGGAGATTATAGCTATCAGAGAAGCAAATAAGAGGAAGGGAGTTTCACAGACGGGAAGTGCGAGACATGAAGCTATTAAAAGAGACGGCTACATTTAACCGTTTCGACAGTGAAAAGGTGGGATTGAGATGTCAACCTATTAGTGAAGATTTGAATTGGCGGTACCAGGTTATGTAGTTTGTTCGAGAACTTTCCATGAAAGTAACGACAGAGCAGCGAGAGGCTTGCCACACCCCGAGAGAAAGGTTGGAGAGTGGAGAATAATTTGTCACCCACAAGGCCTCGAAGAGGCTTTTGGATTTTGTCATGGCTGGATAATGAGGTCTGAGCAGCACTCACCCAAATACGACAACAGTACTGATCTGGCTCTTGAGAAGATAGACGATAGGAGGAGGAGTCAAGTACTTACTCGAGAGGTATAGAGAGTCGACCATTTAATCTGAAATTTTGCTATTACCATTATTTCATTTTTGTATTGTTTTCTCGCTGTTTATTATTATTATTATTTATCGGGGAATCACTTAGTAAATCGTTTTATACTAACGTTCAACCAATACAAGACTCTCGAGTCACTCAATGTAGAGCTTTACTGTTAAATAAGATGAATGAGTGTGATATGAAAGATTTTGTTAGGAAGTGAAAATTATGAGGATGGCAGGGATAGATAATGATTATCTCTTAGCTTTCAGAGGCTAGGATTACAAGTTCAGCAAAGCAATCACGTAGGAATTTGTTCCACAAAGTAGCGATTGTGTGGGAGAAGAAAAAGTTGTAACTTTTTCCTTGCATACTGTCTACGGAAGAAATATAGCCAATTAGACTCCGTAATGGATAGCGGCTTGGACTGAGGAATCCAAGGGCCGAATTCAAATTCCATTCAAATCAATTACATTCACTGACGGTGCTATGAATCCTTCTCTTCCCCACCCCCAGCTATGGGTAAATAGCAGGACAGACCGGGTTCTATAGCCTTGGATGGCAACTGGTCTACCCCAGAAGGAAATGGCAACCTACTGCGGGAAAAAATCTGCCTCGTCAGTCATGTGCCGAAAGATACATTATCGCCTAAGCGTATATCACGCATGGCCCATAAATGAACTGAAAATGTTGAATGGCGAGTCGTATCTGTATAAGTCCCCTAGTGGAACAAAAGAATGTACCTTATCTGAATATTTACCATGGAAATAACAGAATAGCGATTGGCCAGCAACGCTGCATTTGTGAGAGATAGGCTGCAGGGAGGAGAATAGGTCTTCCCTTACAAGAGGGCATAAACGATTTTGAATTCTGTCAAACCTGGAAAAGGAGTATGGCGCCGCTTCAGCAATCAGTGCTGCAATTTGGGGCCAATCTGACTCTTGTGAAGGTAAAGCAACAAAGAAAGAATGTATATCTCGTATATTTTGATGAATGCTTTTAAAGTTTTCTGTCGAAAATTTCAGTAACCATATTTATCATGTAAAATCAAGTTCTATATGTCTCAAGTTTTGATCCCTTTGCGGCCTGTAATGTGTGTGTGTGTAAATAGTGTATATTTTTTATTATGATCCTGTGAAATAACACTGATTTGTGCTCCGGTGTCGACTAAAAATAAATATCCAGTATTTCCGCGCAGGGTGTAAAATAGTCGACATTTTTGTCCCATTCCAGCAGCTAAGGTCGTCTTTATTTGCTGCCGGGGTGATCGTTTCTCTGCTGTTGTGGGAGTTCCTTGAATTGAAATTGCAAGCTTCCGAGCAATTCTTTGCCTCTTTTCCAAAATTATAATGATACCAACTGGTATCGTAGGTATTTCATTTTCTGGAGGATGAGATCGACCTGCCCCGACTTCTGGGCGGTGGGTATTACCGAGAACGTTAGAATCTTTGCCGTCGTAACAAACTTTGTACTTGTATAGTGAGGTTGGCTATATTTTGAGGTATTTGAAGCGACTCTTCTGACCTGTCGGTCGATGTTGCTGTAACTTTTGATATATGTGATGTGGAGTATACACTTTTCGATGAATCCTTTGAAAGAGTTCTGTCTAAAATTTCAGTAACCGTATTTATCATGTAAAATCAAGATTTTGTGTGATTTGTTATTTATAATAAAAAACATAATCAGTTTGCTTTAATTTATCTGAGAATATCACCTACGAAAAACTAAAGCATCGAGTTGTCAAATAAACCAATCATCGTTCTTTCTGTCCTTGCTCGATTACTCATTATCTGTTATAATAGGTAAAACCAAATAAATATTTACACAAAATGCCAATTAATCAGAAAAAAAAATATCAATTTGTCTGTCATATATCGACTTTTCAGTGACACACTTCAAAGTCCCAAGAGAATGACAAAGCGATTCAATAAGAGAATGGAAGCGATTCAATATTCATCCTGTATAATTTTATCGAAGTCTTAGTTTTTAAAACTGAAAATTCACAGAAACTAATCGTGCTAGCAAAAGATTTTTTTTCTAAACAATTCACCATAAGTCTTTTTTTCGGTTGAAACAATAAGTTTTGTAGTCATGATTCTGCCCAAACATGGAAGAAATTACACTGCAGAAAGCCACCTTCTTATCTCCCCACGTCCTCACGGAAAGGTTAGCCAGAAGCCAACCAACCGAACGATGACGAACGAACGACATACAAACGAAACAGTCACATTCAATAAAATGGACGTCAATGCCAACAAAACGCATTCTTCTAAATTTCACCTTTGGATATTTTTATTAGATTTTTGACGTGCATATTTACTATTTTTCTTTCTTTTCTTATTTTTTCTACTTATCTTTATTTTTTGTCCTCATATTTTTCTTCTTTTTTTTCTCATTTTCTTTTTTAGTTGCTTTTAAGATTTTTCTTTCATTTTTCTTCTCGCGTTCATCAGTTTTATTTTATTATTACTTTTCTTTTTCTTCCTTTCCATCATTCATAATTTTCGTTCTTTCATTTTGCTTTCCTCTGTCTTTCTTGTTTTAATTCTTTCACTCCTGATTTTCTTCTGTCGTTCCTTATTTAATTTTCCTTCTACTACTTTTTTCTTTTCCTTGGTTTTTCTTTTTTTACTTTTTGGCATAATCAAACTCATACTCTTTGTTTTTCTTTTTATACTGTTTTTTCATTTATTTCTTTTCACTCTTCCATTTCTTTCATCGTTCACCATTTTCTTTTAAAAAGATCCATACTTTATACTTTTTTCTCTTTCATAAATTATTCTTTCCCTTTTCTTCTTCATCTACTGTTTTCCTGATTTTCTCTTTTTTATTCGAATTTCTTTTGTTGTTTTTTTTACATTTCCTTTCTTTGTTCCGTTATTCCGTTATTCTGTTGTTCCGTTATTCTGTTCTAGTTTTTCTTTGTATACTTTCTTTTTTTAACACTGTCCCTTTCATGTTTTTAACTTATTTCCCCGCCATTTTTTTTCCTTCATCTCTCTTAGCTATTCTCATTTCTTCATTTCTCCATACTTACTCTTTTCTTCTTTCTCTTTCGTATTATTTACTTTTCACAGCATCTTCATTCATTTATCGTCTTTCCATCTATTTTTTTTTTTACTTTTCTTTTATTACTTCCACGTTTTCATCTGTCACTCTTTTTTTTCTCCTCGTAATTCTGATTTCAACTTTTTCTATCCTCACAAAAATGTCTCCTGCGTCAAAATCTATCTACCAACCAACACAACGGATCTGTATGGATGTTTTCAGACTTTCTTACTGGTTCGTTCTTTTTATTAGAAATGGCGTCGAGGTTGGGTGAGGCCCATAAGGACAGGAGAAGGGAAATGGAGTCGAGGAGCATAATTCCAGCATTGAATCAATTGTCTGGTGAAATGGTAAAAGTCCGTTTCTGCTGGTGCGCTGTTGCTTCTGATCTGCTAGACTTGGCCGTCCATTGGAATAAAGTGACCTGGCCACTGTAGACAAATCGACTTAATGTATTCTGGGGTGGATTTGCAATCGGAATGCAAGGCCTGGTAAGATTTGACCCGCACATTCACGTGCCTCCTGCCTTCGATTCTTTTTACTTTTCTCCATTCGTCCTCATTTATCCACCCCCACTTCCATTCCTCATCCCCAACCGTTTCACATTCTCTACGCTTTCCCCCTTTTTTCGCTGATATTCATTTTTGCTTTACAGCTCAGGGCAACCTACTCTTGTAAACACATGTGCACGCACACACACACACACATATATATATATATATGTATATGTATATATATATATATATATATATATATATATATATATATATATATATATATATACATATATATATATATATATATATATATATATATATATATATATATATATATGTGTGTGTGTGTGTGTTTTGATTAGATGTGTGGTTGTGTTCGTGTGTGTACATGGGTGCAATAGACAAACATGTACAGGTTTTAGTGCATATATTTATATGAAAAATAGGATATTTATGATTATACATATGTTTATATATATATAATGATTCGACATATTCATTTACATTTAAAATGAATACCTGTATATACTGATATATACAAATGTAAGATGTGTGTATATATATATATATATATATATATATATATATATATTTAAGTTGAGTATATATATATATATATGTATACACACACACACACACATATATATATATATTTAATAAGATGACAATTGAAAACAATCTTTTGCCGACTTTTCAAGGTAAAAATGTAATCGAAATGTTTTTGTTGTTATAGTTACATTACAAAATTAAGATTTTAAAAATAATGACGCTTCTGCGTAAGCCTCTTTTTGCTTAATGTAAATTTCTTTTATACAAATTTTTTTTTGTTTTTTCATGCCAATGATATAGTTAAATTCTCAAATAATGGCTTATGTAATTATATATAATGGATTAAACCCAAAAAATATTTTGATATATTTTCTGTTTATACGTTATTTTTATGGATACAACTTAAGTTATATCCATAAAAAAAGTATAAACAAATATATAATATATATATATATATATATATATATATATATATATATATATATATATATTAATAAATATACATAGAATCCCACACCGGTAGCACGACAGGGAGTTTCATGCACAACGCAATCTTCAGGTACTAGGTAGAGTCAAGCTAGTGATACTTAATAGTTCTGTTGCATTACATCGAGCATTATATATAATCAAAACTATATAAGTGTGTGAGTGTGTGAATTGACGTAAATATATCTTTCCAAAACTAACCTCGAAAGTAAATAATGAATACATTATGTTTGAAATGTCTTGCTTATAATCTGTGACAATGGCGTCATACTACGATAAGTCTTTTTTAATATACATTTGATATGTGCAACAGTTGTCAGCTCCCCATTTCTTTGAAAACTTGAAACTGAATATACGGTTGAAGATTTTTTTTATTTAATAAAAGAAGGAAAGGCGATTTCTAAACACCTAACAGAAATGGATACTTTACTATTTAACTGGTTTGCTTACCTATAATTGTCTGAAGTAGTTAGTTTTTATTAATTTCGCATCCTGTATTTTTAGGATTATTCGGGGTAGGTGCCATCACAGCTTCCATTTTTATTCACAAGTTTCTGTTTTTCGGAAGCTTTATCTTGAGTCCCATTTCATGGAACACTTGATAGAGGATGATGTTTTTTTCTGTTCAAAATCATTCTTATTCCAACTATGAATACTTCATCATGTCATCAGCATAGCCCTTCAATTGATGTGGCTTTTGATGTTTGATGCAATTCTTTGCTTGTGATTCTGTCGACGTGGTTCGAATAAGGTTAATTCTCACTATTAGCTACAGGGTTCATTTGCTCGAAGCCATTTTAAAGCAACGATCTGAGAAAGCAGTTATATACGGTTGAGAGTTTTAACATTAGTGACATTTAAAATTTCTTGGACACATATTGAGAAAATAAGTTTTGGAATTTTTTTGCCTTCACAGGATATATGATAGTCAATGGGGTTCGAGGCTAACAGTGAGTAGCATACGTAACTAGTTTGTGTAAATGGATGGCAGAAAAGGAATTGGGAGAAGTAGTAAAAAGATAAACATTGCTTAGAGCTACGAAGGATAGAAAGTTGTGGGGAGCCATGAGTGGTCACGACTTAAAAGGAAGCGGCAAAAAGAAAACAGACTTTTTCAGAAAGTAAAACTTTCTAAATTGATCCTATCTTTTTTTTAATATTAAAAAACTATTTCCTTTATTTTGGATGGATTTCCAATTTTCTTTTCAAATTACATGTACTATGCATTTTAGTTGTTACTAATGTTGAATGTCCTCACTTGATGTTGATTCTGTTTTTTGTACAGTTCTTTGTGATTCTGTAGCGCCAGTCGATAATGTTCGAAGAAGGATGATTCTCACTATTAACTACAGGGTTCATTTGCTCGAAGCCATTTTTAAATCAGTGATCTGAAAAGGCAGTTGTATACAGTTGAGAGATCAAATATTTTTGAACTGGTTAGGGGGCCATGCAGGACGACTATCACTTGTACTCATTATTCTATGTTCAATTTCTTTATCTCCTATCATAAATTTATTATAACTGATCCATACACTGAGGTATTTGAAATGTTTAGTATTTACTAATTCCACATACTGATTTTTATGATGGATTCATTTCGTTTTTTGCCTTGCGAAAGTCCACATTGGACGAAACGCGTTGGCAACTATTACAGTTTTCCTATTGTCATCTATATTTTTTAAATATTGTCTTTTCTACAGGTTAACTCTGAGAAATGTTCATATATATATTTAAATAAAAAGAAAGAACAGTAAGATATATAATCCGGTGTTCTTATAGATATTTTTTATTTTTACAAAATAGTGCTCAATGTAAATTTACAGAGCATTAATATTATAAATTAATTGATTTAAAATATGTTTTTTCCGTTACACAGTTCTAATCATGTTTCAAAAATGGAAGCTAAAAGCCACGAATTTAATTTTGCAATTAAATTAAAGACATTAGTAACATTTCATCCTCAATTGCAAAATTAAATTCGTGGCTTTTAGCTTCCATTTTTGAAACATGGTTAGAACTGTGCAAAAAAAAAATTTTAATTTAAATCAATTAAATTATTATATATATATATATATATATATATATATATATATATATATATATATAGCATAATGAGAAGCCATGTATACTTTCTTAATATGTATATATGTATATATAGAAAAACAACTAAAAAGTTGTAAATTAGAAAATAGTTGTTTTATATATATATATTATATATATATATATATATATATAATCAAGAAAAATTAATAAACAAACGATTATCTCAAAATGAGGACACAAAAGTAATTTTTTACTACGTTAGTTAAAAATCGAAAACTGAAAACGAATACTTTGTAATATACCACCATGAAAAATGAAAATATATGTGTTATATACAACGCAGATAAAATATATGCGCTATATACATCGCAGATATTGTAGCACGCATTAGACAAAGCCATTGCATTAAACTAAAAACATAAAATTGCCAACACCTAAAATAAATAAAATTAACAAAAAATGTTAATAAATGAACAAAGGAAATAAATAATAAACATAGTACGAATTTACACATCAACACAAGTAAATGTAATATTAATAATCAATAAGAAATAATTAATTATTACGAAATGATGACCAACTGATTAGATTATTTCTTTCTGAAGTAATTAATAATGATACTGAACATACAGAGAAAAACAATAACATTAACATCGTCTACAAAAAACAAATACATGCCAACTATAAGCAAGATAAATTTCCTTTTAGAAATAAATATATATATATATATAAATACACTATCCCAGTCAGCGCGAACAAGAAATTTAAATTAGTTATGTAATACAAAAATTTTAAGAAGCTAACATTATCAGAAAAAATAACAGCACACACGCAAAACCAAAACTAAAAGTTATTTACGAGTTCAAATGACACTTAAAGAAACAATGATCCTGATCAAAACAAAGTCAAAAATAATTACATTAGTCAAGCTACTACACGCTTATCTAGACAACTTATGTTAAACTTACACGACCATAGCTCCATGAGGACTCATTTAAACACACACAGAAACCTACCAAACTCCATCCGGAGCATACTCGTAAAAATAGAAGTATAGCAGCCTCATCCACATATAAAATGATTTTAAATAATGGAAGCGTTAATAATAAAAACGGAAAATCCAATACTCAATAACATTAACTACGGCCACAATGTGCTGACCGTGAGCGGAAAATAAAACATTCCTATAGCTTTAGATACATACATAAAAAGACCCACATATTTAGTTAAAAAATAAAAAATAAAAATCACCCTTGATAATGAGTAAAATGATAACAGAAAGCGCTCGGATATGCAGAACATTTGGAGAGATTTTACATACTTCGTGTCCAGAAAAGAAAATGGGTTTTTTAAGCATTTTATCCCAAGCAAGGCAAGAGAGTCGCAAGTACACAAGGAGCTACAGAGAGTGCAAATGAGGGAAAGGACTGGGTAGAGAGGGGGGGGAGTGAAGAAACGATAAAAAGAAGAACGGGGGTCAAGGCAACAGATGTCGATTGACATTACATTTAATTTTTTGAAGATTATAGTTATGAGGAAAGCAAGTCAGAAGACGTGAGTTCCAATGTCGTAAAGTGTAAGAGAAGAAGCTTTTGGATTAGAAGAGGTAGTTATATTTAACTGTTTCGACAGTAAAAGGATGGGGCCTAGCAGCACGCTTAAATTCTTGCAGTCGAGGCACCAGTGAAAATAGCTCGTG